GGGTCCTAGGATCGAGCCCCATGTCAGACTTCCAGCTGAGCAGGGAGTCGGCTTCTCCCTCTCCCCCTCTCTCTCCCCCTGTTCAGGCTCTTCATGCTCTCTCTCTCTCTCTCTCCGTATCTCTCTGTCTCAAATGAATAAATAAAATCTTAAAAAAAAAAAAAAAACTCATCAATGTGTCCACCCTGCCCTTGGATAAAATCCAGATACTGCAGCTTTGGGAAGAGGTCCCTTGCATTCCTCTCTGGTCACATCCCTCCCTGGTCTCCATCCTATACTCATCATCTCTCAACTCAAGAACAGTCAGTGGAGTGGAGGTGACCATCATTGAGTAGTTGTCTTTACCAGTAAATCAGCAAACTGTCATCAGGTGTCACTGAAACAGAGAGAGCCTCTCGTACCTCAAGGCTCTAGAAAAGGCACTGGTTAGAAGGTTGTTAGCAGGGTAATCACTGGCCCAGCACCCAGACCTTTTTGCTGCTTTTGTTAGTAATAGTTCGAGTTATTTTCTCCATAAGTATCAATACTTTTTTAAATCTTCTTATAAACCAAGCATACTTTAAATTTAGTATTTTCTCCCTTCTAACAGGAAAGAATTTAGTACTTCCCGAAGTCTGATCAGAACCGTGCTCAAAACATTCCACTGAAGCCTCAGAGTCATCATATATTCATTCACAGCTCCCTCACAAAAATCCTGAGGGTCTCCCCAACTCTAACACAGAAGTGATTTCATTCACTGCCTTACCACATGGTACAAGCTCAAACCTCATGTCAGAGGAACATGGGCTAGATAGAGAACACACAGAGTTCAAATATAGACATGTGGTTCCAAAGTGCTTCAAATACTAACTCAGGCCAAAAAAAAAAAAAAAAGTCATTTTAATGTTGGCTTCACAAACATAGGAAAATAGTCTCGCTCCTTCCCATTACTACAAAATAAAGGATTCTATTGCATTTCACAATAAATGCAGAATTACAAAATAATTATTTTCTAAGGTGGAAAATATAAAATATGATCCATATTGTGGTCAGCATTTGTTATCCTTTGACCACCCACTATCCATCACTCCTTCTTTTGGTACAACACCCTTGTTTTCTTTTGAAAACTCAGCCCTTTCCAAAGGTGGCTAATATGACATGGAATTGGCAGGAATACGGCATTCCTGTATCTCAGTCACTCGTTCAGCCACGGACACATATCCAATCAGGGCCCTAGAGAAATGGTGACATCACTGGTGGGGGCCTCTCTTTTCCTGGACCGGCACCTTCAAGGAAGTTGGCCAAAGGCGTGGCCGCCATTTTGCGGCCACATACGGTAAGCCAGCCGGAAAATGGAGTTGCCACAGAAGACACAGAATTGAGAGACAGAGAGAAGCCAGGTCCCGAATGATATCCTCTGAGCGCCCAGGGGCAGCCCTGCCCGAAAGCCACTTTCACGCCTGCACTCCCCTGGCACCCAAGCCAATAATCCTAATGCCAGATAGGGTTGAGTTTTCTGGCATTTGCAACAAAGAGGTCCTAACTGAAACACTCACATACATTTTGTTAGCATATAAAATATCGAAATGGGTTTTAGGCCTTCCAGATTACTTTCCTCTCAGTAACTTACATTTCAGCTGTCGGGCTAAGACTTAACACAGCTGTTTGTGATCAAAGCTCAATTACACACACTAACAGAGAAGCAGTTCAGATCATTCTAAACAGTGGACACCTGAAAATCATTTGCATATGGCTTGGGAATCTGTCGTGAATTTATTAAAGAAACAAAAAAAAAATCACAAAACATTACCTAAATATTTTTTAACAACTGCCCAGATGGAGGTCCCCTTCCCCAAATCACTGCTGATACATAGAGAATACGTATAAACTTGAGCAAGAACTCAGTTTTCCAGAATTTTCTGGGATGTCACTATTTGAGTTGCTGGTGACAACCACACCTAATTGAGCAAAGTAAACAATAACTAAACTAAAATGTTATTTAAAACAATTCTCAGGAAAGGAGATAATTCCACAAAATGATTGAAAACAGATAACTGTGACTTATTTAGCTGTATATACCCAGTTTCTGTTAAAAAGTGTTTTCTCCACTATGCAAAATTCCTAAAAACCTAAGAACAAGAACTGGCAAGCATCCCATATATACCCTTTTGAATACTTTTTAATTACTTAACACATAGCATATACTCAAAAGTTCTTACTGTCCCCTCCCCACAAAAATCCTTCCTCACTATCTCTTTTTTTCTAGTCATTTTAATATTTTCTTTTTCAATCACGGTTTTGCTTAGAAATGGCTAAATAAAGAAATAACAGGTAAATTCCCATATCCAGATAATCATGTCTTCAGTAAGAATGTCAAGTTTTTCATGGATTGAGGATATATACTCTAAATTTAAAATGTATCACAGGAATACCTCAGAACATTTCACTAGAATGTTTTACCCATAAGCTAACTTCAGTAAAGAATAAAGAAAATGCTAAGGCTAGAAGCTGATATCCTGGGTGGGTAGGGGCCCCACTCTCTGTGAACAGGGTTGGGGGAGTGAGTCAAGCTGGTAAAAAAAAAACTTGGATTCTAAACTTGGAGCTGAATCTAATACACTGTGTGACCTTCCCAGGTTCCCTGAGAATCATTTTTCTTCACGTGTAAGGTGAGAAAATTAAACTAGGTGATCTTTACAGGTCTCCTAGAATGCTAAACATTTATGATTCAGTCTATGAAATCATCTAGAGAACTAACCATAAAAGATGGTGAGAATTATCATGAGACCACTTACAATAAGCACCAAATGAAAACAAAATGAGTATGCTTCTATTCTAGTGCAAAAGTGTGCACTAAGCTTCAACCATGGCTTAGTTTCAATGTGTTTTGGAATTATTTTCAAAAATCATCAGGGAAGTTAAGGCAGTTTTCTGGTTAACCTTTGGCTAACCGTAACACTGAACCTGGGGAAAACCTCTTTCCATAATCATTCCTGTTCTCTATAGCAATAAACATACCAGTTGTTCTCAAATTGCAGAGTTGTGCCCAAAATATCTGTTCCTACATGTTCACAGACATTCAGTGAAAACTAGTCCAGCCTAACGCATAGAAGGCAGAGAGAAATTACAGTAATTGGCTTGCCCAGGGACAGAACCCAAACCTTGGCATCATTAATAAGTTATCTGCGCCAACTGGGCAGCCCAGCCACAAAGCAATGAGACATATGTACTTACCTCTGCATATGAGAGGTTCATATGCATATGTGAGTGGTTCCAGAAAAATGCTATAAATGATACGCACAGCAAGAAAAAAACGCCTAAACATATCAGATACTGAGAAAAACAGGTTTCTTATGGTTGACGGTAGGTTACACTTTAGTTAATCAAGTCCTATTTTAAATTGCCTTAGGGAGCTGGTATTAAAAATCTTTTATAGTAATTACTTTCTTAAGGAGAAAGTAATTTACCTTAATTTACTATTTTGGAAATCCATGTCATTTATCAAAAGGTAAAAATATTAAACAGCTCACCCAATAATTAATCTTTAATTGAAATCCATAAAGAGGGAGAAAAATACTTTCTAATATTGAAGCATTCCAGGCAAACATTCAAAAATCCAACAAAAAGTTTAGTTTATAAAAATTAATTCCACAACCTTAAAAGCAGGCACACAAAGAACACATAGTAAAAACCTAATACCACGCTGGTGTAAGCTACATTGATTTCCACCACCATTTTAAATCAAGCCATCATGATGTTATCATGGTGTTATTTCAACTTAATAAAAAAATTATTTGTTTCCAAGCTATTTGAACAATGTAGTTGTCAGTTTCTTTGACAAGGTCCAAGGGAAAAAACTAAATAATATAGTGGAATAGAAAGTCATTTATGTTTTTCATATAAAACAAAATCAAATACTAAACTAAACCTATTACTTCTAGAGGGAAAGTAAAGAGCTAAAAAATTTTTAACCTGACACAATAACAACTTTGTCTCATCAGGTTTTGACAATGAGCAGTTTTTACCCCACAAAACTTTGAATTCAACTTTTTTTAACCTAGAAAAAACAAGAATTAGGGGGCATTGTATAAATCAGGGTCACTCCTTTCATTCTAGGGTTTACAAGGAGTCCTGGAAAATCTCTTCCCATGCATTCCTGAGCACTTGTCCATTGCAGCCCTTTCTTGCCCACATATAAGTTAGTCTTTGTTTTATGCTCTAAAGAAAATGTCCCACATTTCTATAATGCTCGAAACTCCATCTTCATGGGCAAGGGAGTCAAGGAAAAGCAGATGCCTTCACCCCCAGAAAATTGTGTTCAAAAAATATTTTTTTAAATCCAGCTCTGTGACATTCTAATAAGATTATCCTCGCCTAAATACCAGAACATGGATCAACTTTATTACCATGAAATCTCAATCTAAACTGCTAATTATTAGGCTAACTTCAGCAAAATTTCTCCTTGAATCCTGCTACTCGCTTCAGTTAGGCAAAAATGTCCATAGTAGTAAACAAAACTCTTCTATTTGACACACACACCAAAAAAAAAATCTCCCAAATACATTCTACAATTACAAATGCTCATCTATGCTGTACATGTAATGCTCAGGAAGGGGCATGGTGCTGAATAAAAAGATATATGTTAGCTATGACTAAAATCATGGTTTAAAAAAAAGCATGCATCTATATAGAAAAGGACTGAAAAACATAAATAAAATGGTCGATCTATTAGATTCTTAGAAAATGGGCCTCTGGGTGATTTTAGATTTTTTTTTTTTTTTTTTTGGAGGGACTTCTTGTTTTTACTGATACTTATTTTTTTAACAAGTCTGCTATATGGTAATGCAGTATTTTATTTATTCTGTTCATTAATAACTAATACTCAAGAACTTTTATAATATTAATATAACTTAATCTAAAAGAATCAACTTACTTTGTTTACATTTCAATACTGGGTACGAGAGAGAGTCAAAATAATTATGGTCAAAATTATTATATAAAAAATTATAGTAAATGCTCGGTGTTAGTCTCCATACAATTTAGTTTTTGGCATAAAGTTATTTAGTTGCCAGGAAGAACATTTGGTTTACTTCACTAATAGGAATATCTCTTAATGCCGGGATGGCCTCTTCTTGGTATTTCTTCTGCTGTTGATTTTTAGCATAGTTATCTGTGATTGTATGAATGGAGTTGAGTGGAGAGGTACTCATCATGTTTATTCCAAATAAGAGTACATAACCAACTACTATAGTAATGAGGAAGTAGACGGGCAATGCAATTGCCCAGTATTTTTGAGGCCAATAGGTTAATCCCAAGGAGTTTAGCCAAGATTCAGGAATAAATGCCCACACGAGATACAAGATGAAGCCAAACTGGGAGCTTAAGAAAAGAACAAAGCCATAAATCGCTCTTTCTGGCAATGGAGACGGTGAATTTTCCACCATTTTCCCTGTGGCTTTAGACAATCCTCCTGACAGCTCGGCCACTTCAGCTCCAAGTCCCCCGCGCAGGCCCCTTCCAGAAAGCCTCCGCGGGGGCGAGAAAAGGAAGATGATTTTAGATTTTTATTTCCATTATTGCTATTACAAAATTATTTGTGCAATAAATTAAAAGTGTGAATACACATCCCTTCAGGTTAAGTGTATTGGCATATTCTGGACCCAGTAGCATAACAAGTGTGGAGAACGGACCCTGCTCTACAAGGGGAAATGGACTACATTACAGTAGACAAAGTGCTAGTTGGAGGATACCCACCAGAGGCAGTCATATATAGTTCACTGCCCTCCTGCAAACTTCTAATATATACGCGGCTGTGTATATGTGCTTTTTCCAAGTAAATATAACCACACAACATGTAACATATGTCATTTATGCAAAGCAATCCCATATATATAATTATGGATCATAAAGAATCCATATAATAATATATGTATAGGATAATATATATAATAATCCATATATAATATACATAATTAATGCAAAGCAATAAAACCATTCAAAAGTTTGGTTCAGCTGTTGTAATAATCAGAGTGGGCTCACAAAAACAAGTGCAAACTTTTAAATAGGGCGAACAGTAATGGAAATGTCACATATATCATTGACCTAAGCAAAATAATTAGCTGAAAGTAATTCAGTAACTATTCTCTTCCTTTTAAAATTTCCCAAGAACATTCAGGTTAGAGCCTAACAGAGGCAATTCGATATTAGTATTATAATCAGCCCAGGCAGTCATCATTCGAAAAGTGTGCTAGGTTTCAATGGTTTTAATTAGTCTAAATGACAGCTTAAGGAAGATTAAACTAAATGATAACCTAAAAATCTCCTTCAAAAATAAATTCTGTGGTTCTCTAGCTAGCTTAATATATGAACGCACAGATACAGAAGCACAGGATTTACAGGTTCTTGAAACAAAGTAGCATCAAAGCATAACAAATAAGTCAGTTTCATAATCTCATTTCCTATGTTTAGATAAATGACCTAGAACCATTTTTTTTTAGATTTTTTTAAATTTATTTATTTATTTATTTGTTTGTTTGAGAGAGAGCGAGAGTGAGAGAGCACAAGAAGGGGGAGCAGCAGAGGGAGAGGGAGAAGCAGGCTCCTCACTGAGCAGGGAGCCCGATGCGGGACTCGATCCCAGGACCCTGGGATCATGACCTGAGCCAAAGGCAGACGCTTAACTGACTGAGCCACCCAGGCACCCCAACCTTGAAACTTTTTTTATCATAAGTATTACTTTTCTGTGATATATCTTAGCCATAACTTACTTAAAATTTTAAAATTAAACAAATGAGAATGAAAAAGTAAAAACATACTTTTTCCAAACACCAAAATGAAGTAGCAAGAGAATAAATTCTTTACTTTTTTATTTTAATTCCAGTACAGTTAATGTACTGTCTTATATTAGTTTTAGGTACACAATATAGTGATTCAGCAATTCTATACATTACTCAGTGCTCATCACAACAAATGCATGCCTTAATCCCCATCACCTATTTCACCCATCCCCCACCCACCTCCCCTCTGGTAACTTCAGTTTGTTCCCTGTCCTTAAGAGCCTGTTTTTTGGGTTGTCTCTTTTTTTCTTTGTTCATTTGTTTCTTAAATTTTATATGTGAGTGAGATCATATGGTATTTGACTTATTTCACTTAGCATTATACTCTTTAAATGCATCCATGTTGTTGCGAATGGCAAGATTTCATTCTTTTTTATGGCTGAGTAATATTCCACTGTGCATGCGCGCGTGCGCGCGCGTGTGTGTGTGTGCCACATCTTCTTTATCCTTTCATCTGTTGAAGGATATTTGGGCTGCTTCCATAATTTGGCTATTGTAGATAATGCTGCTGTAATCACAGGAGTGCATATATCCTTTCAAATTAGTATTTTCATATTCTTTGGGTAAATACTCAGTAGCAGAATTACCAGATCATAGGGTACTTCTATTTTTAATTTTTTGAGGAACCTCCACAGTGGCTGCAGCAGTTTGCATCCCCACCCCCAGTGCAAAAGCGTTCCTCTTTCCCCACCCTCACCAACACTTGTTTCTCGTGTTTTTGATTGTAGCCATTCCAACAGGTGTGAGGTGATATCTCACTGCAGTTTCGATTTGCATTTCCCTGATAATAAATAATGTTGAGCATATTTTCATGTGTCCATTGACCATCCGGATGTCTGCTTTGGAGAAAGGTCTATTCATGTCTTCCACCCTTTGTTAATTGGATTATTGGGATTTTTTTTGGTGTTGAGTTGTATAAGTTCTTTATATATTTTGGATACTAACCATTTATCAGATATGTCATTTACAAACATCTTCTCCCATTCAGTGGGCGATCTTTTTGTCTTGTTGGTTGTTTCCTTTGCTGAGCAGAAGCTTTTTATTTTGACACAGTCCCAATAGTTTATTTTTACTTTTGTTTCCCTTGCCTCAGGAGACATATCTAGAAAAATAATGCCATGGCCGATGTCAAAGAAATTACTGCTTGTGCTCTCTTCTAGGATTTTTATGGTTTCAGGTCTCAAAATTAGGTCCTTAAATCTATTTCGAGTTTATTTTTGTATATGGTCTAGGAGAGTCATCCATCCATTTCATTCTTTTGCATGTAGCTGTTCATTTTTCCCAATATCATTTGTTAAAGAAACTTTTCCCCATTGTATAATCTTGCCTTCTTTGTCAAAGATTAATTAACCATATAATTGTAAGTTTGTTTCTGGGCTTTCTATTCTGTTCTATTGATCTATATGTCTATTTTTGTGCCAGTATCTTACTGTTTTGATTACTATAGCTTTGTACTGTATCTTGAAATCGGAGATTGTGATACCTTGTATTGTTCTATTTCTTTAAACATTTAATTTGAGAGAGTGAGCACATGGGGGGAGTGGCAGAGGGAGAGGGAAAGAGAGTCCTAAGCAGACTCCACACTGAAGGCAGAGGGAGAGGGAAAGAGAGTCCTAAGCAGACTCTACACTGAGCATGGAGCCCCAGGTGGGGCTCAATCTCACGACCCTGAAATCACAACCTGAGCCGAAACCAAGAGTCAGATGCTTAACTGACTGCACCACGCAGACACCCCTTGCTCTTCTTTTTCAAGATTGCTTTGACTATTCAAGGTCTTTTGTGGTTCCATACAAATTTTAGATTGTTTGTTCTAGTTCTGTGAAAAATACTGTTGGTATTTTGATAGGGTTTGCACTGAATCTATAGATTGCTTTCAGTAGTATGGACATTTTAACAAATGTGTTCTTCCAATCCATGAGCATGGAAAATCTTTCCATTTGTATCATTTTCAATTTCTTTCATCAATGTTTTATAGTTTTCAGAATACAGGTCTTTCACCTCCTTAGTTTAGTTGATTCCTAGGTATTTTATTATTTTTGGTGCAGTTTTACATGGGATTTTTTCTTAATTTCTCTTTCTCCTGCTTCATTATTAATTGATTTTGCATCTTGTGACTTTTCTGAATTTATTTATCAGTTCTAGTAGTTTTTTGGTGGTGTCTTTAGGATTTTCATAGTATCGTGTCATCTGCAAATAGTGAAAATTTTACTTTTTCATTACCAATTTGGGTGCCTTTTATTTCTTTTTCTTGTCCGATTGCTGTGGCTAGGACTTCCAGTACTGTATTGAATAAAATTGGTGAGAGTGGTCTTCTTTCTGATCTTAGGGAAAAGCTCTCAGTTTTTCACCACTGGGTATGACATTAGCTGTGAGTATTTCATATGTGGTGGGATTTCAAAGATGGCCTATATTATGTTGAGGTAAGTTCCCTCTAAACCAACTTTGTTGAGGGTTTTTTTATCATGAGTGGATTACTTTGTCAAATGCATCTTCTGCACATACCGAAATGATCATGTCTTTTTATCTTTTCTCTTGTTGATGTGATGTATCACGCTGATTGATTTGTGAATATGAACCACCCTTGCATCCCACTTGATGGTGGTGAATGATTTTTTAATATATTGCTGGATTTGATTTCTTAATATTTTGTTGAGGATTTTTGCATCTATGTTCATCAGAGATACTAGCCTATAGTTCTCTTTTTTGTAGCATCTTTATCTGGTTTTGATATCAGGATAATGCTGGCCTCACAGAAATAAATTTGAAAACTTTCTTTCCTCTCCTGTATATATCAGAATAGTTTGTAAAGAATAGATATTAACTCTTCTTTAAATGTTTGATACAATTCACCTGTGAAGCCATCTGGTCTGGGACTTTTGCTTGTTGGGAGTTTTTTCAATTACTGATTCAATTTCATTTCTGATAATTGGTCTGTTCAAATTTTCTATTTCTTCCTGATTCAGTTTTGGGAGGTTACATGTTTCTAGAAATTTATCCATTTCCTCTAGATTGTCCATTTTGTTGGCATATAATTTTTCATAATATTCTCTTATAATCCTTCGTATTTCTGTGGTATTTGTTGTTATTTCTCCTTTCATTTCTGATTTTGAGTCTCATTCTCTCTCTTCTTCTTCCTCTTTTCTTTTTTTTCTTCCTTATGAATCTGGCTAAAGATTTACCAATTTTTTTGATCTTTCCAAAGAACCAGCTCCTGATTTCATTGATCTGTCCTATTGTATTTTTGTTTGTTTGTTTCTATTTCATTTATTTTTGCTCTAATCTTTATTATTTCCTTCCTTCTACTGGTTTGGCATTTGGGTTTTTTTTTTCTAACTCCTTTACTAGGTTGCTTACTGGAGGTTTTTCTTGCTTCTTGAGGTAGGCCTGTATTGCTAAAAGCTTCCCTCTTAGAACAGCTTTTGCTACATCCCAAGGATTTTGGACTATTGTGTTTTCATTTTCATTTGTCTCCATGCATTTTTTGATCTCCTCTTTAATTTCTTGGTTGACCCATTCATTGTTTAGTAGCATATTATTTAACCTCCATATACTTTGTGTTCTTTCCAGATTTTTTTCTTATGGTTGATTTCTAGTTTCATAGCATTGTGGTCATAAAAGATGTACGGTATGACCTCATTCTTTTCGAATCTGTAGAAACTTGTTTTATGGACCAATATGTGATCTATTCTGGAGAATGTTCCA